ATATGACTTTGAAGGCAGTCCTCTGTTTACAAAGGAATCATTGTGGTAGTCGGTGGCAGGCACGACGCCTTAGGAGAGCCTGCAAGATTTCTAACATTTGGTCAGGCTACACTCCTAACAAAAACAGCCACGTTTCGGCGTTAGACCGCAAAGATCTCTCTGTTAATGAATAAGGAGGTAAAAATTACGATTCCCTTTACAAGTCCGCTACGTAGTGAACTGAGCCATGGGCCCGCGTCTCCCCAGAGCTCTTCGGCTGAGTGGCGCATCTGCGAGAGTCTCGGCTAGACAGTGGTTCTCCCAGCCCACAAGTAAGTACAGCCCACCAGTTAAGCCAGTCATTTAAAATTCTGATCGATTTTCATCCTTAAACGCTTTGAGAATGGAGCACTGATCCAGCTCTTCGAAACGTCAAAAACAATGCCTATCTGTTTTGACGAGCAACCTTACTTTCACACATTACCTGGACGCTAGATGTGTGGCGGACATCTTACAATTCAGTCAATACGATTGTCAGAAAGTGGAAGTGTGCTTTGGCTCACGGAATGCGTCTCCGCGACTCTTAACGCCATTACTTTGTCAGCCAGCTCGGCCAATTCGTTTATGCTTCTTTGAGAAACAGCAAGTACCGTCTAAACGTCAGGTGGGAGACGTTGGAGGAAAAACGGACGAAGAATGGACGTTTTGAACTTCCGTTCACCAACGAGTTGCTGCATCCGTCTCAAAAGTTGAGACGGTTTCCGGTCACCGAGCTCTTCGCCTGTGAGGAGTTGGTGTAGACGGCGCTCCTCCGTCATAGCTACCCGCTTTACAAGAGCCTCTTTCAACTTGTCTTAAGGCTACTCTTGCGGACGATGAATGAGGAGGCCACATGGCTCCTTCGCATATTCGTAAGAAATACTGCGCTGCAGGTGATTGAACATAGTTTCCTGGCGAATGATTTTGCACGCTTCAACTTCTGCCTCACAACGTGCAATCCATAGCTCAACATTTCGTGCCCAGAATGCTGGCAATTTGACAGACACATGTGAAGTGGAGGGAGAGTTATCTGACTGTTCATTATCCGGCATCGTGATAGAGATAAAGGAAGGGCTGACGGAATGTTCAACAATTTCATGTTTTCGAAAAATCAGCGGTCACCAATCTGTATGATTGCGTGGCTGAATCAGCTGAGGTTAGCTGTTGAGGGCCACCGGAACGACAGGGAACGCTGGTGCAGCTTTTATCGGTTAGCCAGAAGCGACCGCGAGGTCAAGCCTCGGGGGCCGGGGACGCCAGTGAAGAACAGTTGGTTGTGACGACGCCTGACTTTGCGGGAGCGAGCATTGTGAACGCAGGGTACAGAGTTGTTGGATGTCCGGCACAGATGGCACTTTTGTAGGCGGATACTTTTTTTAGCTTGGAGACATTAAAAGTCTGTGTAACAGATAGTTCGGTTCAAATTTATTTGATAATTAAGGACCCTCATTGATCTGGTTAGGGAACATGCTCGTCCCGCTATACCTTGGAGCTCAACCTAGAGTCCTTACAGATAGTTGCATGGTAATTTGTAGTATAGGATAAGCTGACCCCGACAAAGACAAAGGTGACCGGAATGGCCATTTCTAGCCTGTTAGCCGTCACCAGCCAGTTACATTCTATCCCAGGGGTGGCAACCCTCGAGATTCGAACCCGCCACCTTTTTTCATTGAGTGCAAAACTCCACAATTGCGCCATGTGCCCGTTGTTTTTCTCGATTGTGATCGGGACTATGGTGGGAGTAGAAGGCCTCTATGGTGAACAGCAGGACATAACTGTTCCTTACCCAGATCGGTGAGCCCCATAATCTCAGCCTATTCCCGATCGCAGTCGACAAAAAACGGGCCCGTGCTGCGATCGTAGAGTGTCGCACTCAATGACCAAAGGGTCACCACCCCCGAGGATTGGGTACGACCGGCTAATGATGGCTAATAAGCCCGAATTGGCCATTACGGCATCTCTCGTCTTGGTCGGTTCACTTCATCGGACTACAGACGTTGTTAAAACTGAGTAATACACTATTCGATGAAGGGGTGCCAGGAAATGTAATTTCCTACAAAATATGCACGAGTATATTTCCTGTACAATTTAGTTGTATTTATTAAGACATTGAAAATCAACTTTAGAATAAATACTACTTGCGTAGCTGATTTTAGTCAGGGCGGTTTTCTGTGGGTGACCGGAAAACC